GAGTGAAGCAGCGATAGGTGTAGTCTCAAGAACACGACAGTTTGTTCCCTTATGTTGTTTCAGAGTGTTTGAACTCAAGGCTCCTCATTGGTTTGGTGAATGTACAATTATGATAGAAAGAAAGTAGAACCTCTAAGGTTTTACGTATCACCCGCGTCTTTATGTATGTGTGATAGCTGTATGGTTTAACTTTACACGCAGAGGTAGGTTTTGGTCTCTAGTTTAAATTATGAGGAAAATAACAAGTTGATGAAATGACTGTGACCATGAGTCAAAATGACTCCCTAGCCAGACACAGCATGACTGAAACCGTTACCTTAATTTCACTCAGGGAGACGTACTTCTCAATTCCAAGTTCAATCATATCAAGTACATGGAAGTCAAATAGACGACCTGCAAACAAACAAGCGAACAATTTATTTGATTGGGTCAATTCAAAATCTGAAAACCTTTTCTTTGCAGAGCATCTTCTACACTGAAATGTTTTTTACTGAAAACCTGCAGACCAGTATTCACTAGCATTATGCTGATAGTCTGCTAAACATAAAACACAACGTGTAACGTGAGACGAGACACTGACAGTCCAGTATCATGTAAAAACCTGAAAACAGATGTTATAGCTGCTGTATGTATATTAAGTGATATAACTGATAGAGAGAAAGTTTAAATTTACCAAATATGAAGTTGTTGGGCCGTTTCTTATTGTGGGAGCCGAACAGGAACAGGGAGCAGTCTGTCTTCTTGGAAAAGAACTCCTAAAATAAATGTTAGATTATTAACAAGAAAAGCAACACTGGTGAAAACTCTGAAAAGGACCATCGCCCCTCTGCACTCACCAGTGATGTTGAGTCCTCAAATGGCCGAGTGATGTTCTTTCTAAAAAGCGTACACAGACACCATCAAGACAGAAAACACACACTGTAGGGGACTTCACTCTTAGACCAGTAGCTTTGTATGATCACCCACTGTCTGAAACAAGCCCTTTCAGCTCCCTTTATGCCAGCTTTTATCCTAATTGGTTTTCTGTTTAAAAATATTAGGTTTTAGTGGATGTCTGGAGCTGCTGTGTGCCTGAGACAACCATATGAGAGAAATTCATTCTCCCCCAGAGCCAAGAGTAGAACAGAAATGGTCTGAAATCAAGGATTTAGAGAAGTACCAACAAGAGAAACATACACCAGCTGAATAAAATATGAAAAAGGCAGGCTTGGTCTTCCGTTTTAGGCTGCTCCACAGCCACAGTAACGTGATCACACAGCCACTTCTGCTTAAACTCCCCGTTAAGGTATAGGTAGTTGCTGCAGTACTCTTTTGGACACTAGGTGTCACCACTCACCACATAACTGCCACACTGGCACTGACATAAGAAGAAGAAGAAGTAGAAGCAGACAAACTCAGAAGCAAAGACACTGCTGTTGTGTTTTACTTTTAAAGACCTTTTTTCCAACGTTTTTTTTTCAGGAGGTCTCATCTTTTCAAACTGCTTCAACGTTTCCCTCCATATAATCTGACAATCGCCAAGCGTCTATACTGGAATATCATCAAAATACTGGGAAAAACCGGCATGACCGTACACGCGTCTTCAAACTGTGACTGCATCATCACATTCTGCCAGGATACGGTTCATGACAAACGACACCAACAAGGCAGCTCGCGCCTTCTGATGTGACATCAAGTTCAACACGTGGATGTAAATACAACTACCAGTGTAATTCTTTACCTCCCAGTCATCATCTGAAGCGACCAAATAGACAATTCAAAGTTTTTCCAGCTCAAATATCTAGAAACGACCCACACTAAGCAGATGAACTGATAAACCTGTTCCATCAAATAAAACCCGAGCGTTTATTATAGGAACAAAGTGGATATGTCACTTACTTTTTGTACAGCACAGCATTGGGTTTCTTCAGGGAATACTGTGAAGGAAACAAATGTACTTGCATGAATTTACAGAAAAATTACACATTAAAAAACAAAACAAACAAACCTCAAAACGCACTGTGAGATGGAAAAAATCTAAAAAATTGATCTCAGTTTGGAAAAAATGAATGCCACAGATTCATCCAGTGAAATGTTAAAAGGGTTGGCGTAATAAGCAAATGCTTCAGCCAATACCTTTTGATTAGCCTTGTCTCATGCTTTCTTGCTTTGTGGTAGATCTTTGTTCTGTCTTCACTGAGATATTTGAATGGTAATCAATAAAATCAAATCAAATTAAACCGTCGGCGTGAACAGCTGCTTTAAGAACAGATGAGTAAAATATTTTTAACACACCAAATATTCACATGGATTTTACACGTCCAGTAGGCTTGGGCGATATGCAAAAGTTTCTACCCGACAATCGTCAGTCCAATAATCAATGATGGGCAATATATTTGCACATGTGCAGATTTTTTGATGGGCAAAGCAATGTAATCATGCACAGACTGATTTGCACGTTTACAACACAGAACTCCAACTAATTTCCCCCCCAAGAAATTAGGGCTGTCAGCGTTAATGCGGTCATCACTATTAACACGATTAAAATTTTTAACGCGCTCAACCCATCTGGAGCGCAGAATGAACAAACCTTGGACAAACTGCCCGAAATGCATTGACAGATTCATTTCAGGGATTTTGACTCAGACTGTGCTCCAGATGGGTTAATTTTTCCTGTTGACTGCTTCTATTAGATCCACCATTTAACTTACTCAAATAAATAAATAAATTGTAAAAACGATCGACGATGGGCATATTCGGCCAGTCACCCAACCCTAACGTCCAGCCTCAAGCTGATAGGCGTCAATCTGTGTTCTTGATTTTCTTTAGATCGTGGCACAATATCTTACTTCTTGAGATTTTTGTTTTGCCTGCTTCACTTTGTCAGATAGACTCTAAAAGTCTTGTTCTGGCTGTGATCAGGCCTGGGTGTGGTTATCTGAAATTAAACTCAGCTTTCCAAAGAACTTGGTTAATCATAGTTAATTTAATAGTATTTTCACACCTGTGCTATTTAGGCTATTTCGATCAAACTCTTGTTCATTTCCCCCCTCAGTGCAGTTTGTTTTTTGCAGATTTGGACTTGTTATTGTTCCAAGCGAACTCCAGAGTGGTTCGTTTACAGTCTGAACATGATCCGACCTCGATCTGAACGAACTACCAGGTGTATATTACAAGTCTGAGCTAAAAAAAATATAAAAAAATAAATAAAAAAAACCTCCTGTAGAGGAACTATAGATGTGCAAAGGTCTGTACGGGCTAGCCCCTAGCAGTATTGTGTTCTCCAATAGTCTAGAACATAGCACCTTCTTCCTGCTGCCACAGACACATCTGGCCAATAAGCCGACTGAACATTCTCATGTGGTTTGTAGTAAGGCATTTGGTGCAAAAACAAACCAGATCATTAGGAATAGATCCAAGTGTAAGAACTCATCATTTACAGGTGTGAAAACACCCCAAAGTTTAAGAATTGTGGGTGGGGCTTTTTCCACATAGAGCCAGGTAGGGTTGGACAGCTTTTGTCTGATACTAAAATCTGTTTGATGATCTGAAACATGTCAGTGTGACAAATATGCCAAACTCCATCCTTACACAGCTCCTCTGTGACTTACTATGTCCTTCAGGGCCTGCGTGATGGTCTGACTTGTGTTCCCTCCTTTCATAATCATGGCACTCTTCACATCTTCAGTCAATTTGGGTGCTCTGCTCTCCAAGAAGCGTTTTGAGCGCTTTGTCTTCGGTTTTCTGAGGAAGAAAACACAAGGGAATATAAGAAAGATGACAAACTGCACACAAGGCAAACTATCAGAAAATCAAACCGGTATTTCTGATTGGTTGATGACCTAAAAATGTACGTCAATTAGCCAATACAGATATTGTTTCTGTTCATCTTGTTTCCGATCTTCCTCTTTCTTTCAGAGACACGGGGAAATCATCTTCATAAAATAACTTCACAGTCTGAATGTCTTCTAGCTTGACAACAAACTATCTTAAAACTTAGAGCATTGTTTCAGAGAGCAGCCCTGATGTGAATCAATACATCTGCCAATACATTAACAGATGCCTAAGAATAATGCTGTTTAGAATAGAGACTTTATGTGCACAGCGCTGAAGAAATATTAACCAAACTTGTATGCAATGCCAGTATGTACCAAATCATAATGCACTGAAAGTAAGATGGTAACCTTAAAAAGTTTAGTTTCAGCAGAGAGACTGGATACAAAAACAAGACATTTAAATGAGTTTGTTATCAATTATATTAATATGATTGCCTTAAACATAAAATACTCAAATCGAGTGTAACTCAGACCGTTAGACCCTGAATTTTAGGCATGACACCACTAATCTCACAGCACATTAAAGACGAACATGAGGCTGAGAGACAGGGAAATCGATTTGATTATGCGCTTATGTAGAAATATGGGGTGTCTCCAAATCCTTTGTGGCATCTGAAGATCGGACAATGAGATGCCACAGAGGCATGGCACAGGGAGATGCCACAGAGGCATGGCACAGGGAGATGCCACAGAGGCATGCCGATTCCACGACGGAGCTAGTTGCAGTTAGCCGACAGCTAAAGGTTAGAAGCTTTGCCATAAACAGCACATTCATAAAACGATACATAGCAACACTTCCCAGGCCCCCCCCAAAGCGAGAGTCCATACTTACATTACAGAATCCAACTGCGTCATTGTATATGTATTTTTATTCCTAATCGCTAACGACCACACTAATTAAGAAACACGTGAAAACGACAAGAGCGACGATTTTCTTCTTCGATCATATATAACAAAAGAAACCCAACTCAAAATACTGCCATCAAGTGGTCATCTGCTGATGGCCTTTTAAACTCTGAAGGCAGATCCCATCCCCATATCTGATCAGACTGTACAAGAAGTTCAGATTGTCATTTCTCACTCCAAAAACAAAAATTCTCCTGGCATAGAGTGCCTCTTGACTAAATTTTATACATTATATATTATGTTATATAATAATGTATGTAAATAGAATTATATAAAAAAAAATTTAATCAGGAAAAACCTGCTGGGTTGGATTTTAGGCTTTTTAACTGACAAGTCACGAAGAGTGAGAATAAATGGTGTGCTGCCTGACCCAGTGTTCTCCTCCACGGTGCGTCTTATCGCCATTATTATTCATTCTCTATACAAACACGAGCAGATATGCTGCCATCATTTAACTTAATAACTGTTTTTTGATTTAATTCATCTTGTCTAATTATTACCAAATGTGTTTAAATAGGTGTGCGTTTTGTGAAGGGGTGTCAAATGCTATAATGTTTCTGTAAAGCAAATTTACCTACAGGTATAAATAAAGTAACCTTGAACCTGAATTATAAATTGAGATTTGGTTGTAACTTCATTGCTGCTGTGAGAACAATAAGAAACTTGTTAAGGTTGTTCAATTTCCCGTATCTCTTTCTCCTGGTTGGTTCACCTCTGGGCTGTCAGAAAAAAATATTTAATAATAATCCCATTAAAAGGAATTTCTTTACCTGGGCAAGAATTGATTTTAGCACAGAGTCTTCTTTTTAAAGGATGACACCCAAATTCCTTAAGCTAAAAACAAAACAAAGCATCAGGTCTCTTACTTATCAATAAATTTAAACTAATCACAATTAAAGACTGTTCTGAAAAAATTTAATTATAGAAGACTTTTGTTGTATGCCCCATTTTGGGGCTTCCAGTCAATTCAAACAGATGATTTCAAAATCTTTGTTTCCATATGTACCCGTTTTTAGGGTTAAGAGCAGGATATTAACCAGGCATAATTATTTTACCCTCTTTTCAGTAACCTATACTTGATGACACCGTAATCAAACTGGAAATTGTTTTTGGTAGCCCCCCCCTATGGGGGGGGGGGGGGGGGGGGGGGGGGGGGGGGGGGGAAGTCTAGAGGGGATGTCATTGAAGACTGCACCCTGTGCTGTTCTACTGTAGAGCAGCTTATTCTCACACACAGCTCCAGTTTGTTCCTCCTGGAGCCACTGTTGTGCCCCCCCACCACCACCACCAGTCCAGTTGCACTGTGTGACCAGGAGAGATCCCCTGTGATTTAAGTCTAATCAGTGTATTAGAGTAGGGAGCAGCTTGTTTCACATTAGGTCTTGAGATTTTTGCACAAACTACACCAAAACCCACTTAATCATCCCTTTAAAGCTTTCTGATGCAGTCAGACAGTCCTACAGGGTCTTGATACCAAAATAAAAGCACACAGATCTCACATTTAAGTATCTTTTATTGAAGCATTAAGCTCATAGCACGGATATTTAGCACATCTTGACCATCCAGAGAACAGATAAATGAATTAGAACAGCAAAGTTGCTCATTCAGTACAACCTGCAACTGTACCCTCACAAGCAGGAGGCTTTCCTGGCTTCCGCTTCCTTGAATTCACAAAGCAAAGTGATAACATGATCTAGTCAACTTGGAAAAGGTCATCCCTCAAGTAACTTTGTTGGAACATTGTTTTCACAAAAACATCTAGAACCAAAGGGCAGAAAGAAGATAATTAAAAATAAAATTGGTCCGCAGCAGAAATACAAAATATTTTGTATAAAATTCAATTACCATTAAACTGCAAAATAGAGATCACCATATAAAAACACCAACGATCCACACCAACAAGGCTGAAATGCACTTAATCCAACAGCTAGCATACCATTTCTGTTGCTAGATGGAAATTCTTAAAAAATATAAACCAGACTACCATTACAAGTCATTTAATCTTAAATTGAAGGGAAAAAAAAAAAAAAAAAAAAAAAAAAGAATAAAAGAAAGAAAGAAAAAAGAAAAAAGCCACGTAGCCTCACTAGAGGGACACTTTTCAAAATTCCTGCCCTTATATAGATAAATTTACCAAGTGCTAGCTTGACTAGCATGCTAAGTTCCTTAGATGATGTCAAGTGCCGAAATCAGGATAAAACTATCACATCGGCAAGATTCTAACAGCATTCTCTGGCAGGAGAAGCTAAACCTTAGCTGTAGTAGGGCATCAAATAAAAACAAAACCACAAACAAGACTGAAACTTCTCCTGCTTTTAGCACCTGTCTGAAGCCTGAAATCTATAAGAGTTAGACAGGTACATGAAATTTATAAAAAATAAAAATAAAAACCAAAACAAAAAGGGGGAATAAAATACAAACAAAACCACCTATCCAACATGTACCAGGTTGGGGCAGTTCCAACTTTCACCTTGTAAAACAAGAGGAAGGTGAAGCACACACACACTGACAGCAGAGACAGCGCTACATTACACTGTTGAGCAACACGGCACTAGTAGTCACATGCAGTGTGTCAGGATTCCCCTTGCAAACAAAGGGCATTGACCCAAATGACAAAAAGAAAAAAGTGAGGGCACAATAAATTTCATAAATGGCAGTTTATGTAGTGGTTATATGCGGAATGATCTGGGACCACCCTGGCATGCTCAGACTAGTGGGCCTCTTTTGTGCGCTTACATCTCTGTATGTGGCAGAAAGAGACAGGGTGGATATTATGTTTGGGGGGATGCTTTGGTGGGCAACTAAAGCAAAAAGTGTCTGATTCATTATTTCCTTTCAGAGCTGAACACAGTGCGAGTGGCCAGGAGGGCTGGCTCTCGGTGGGCTGGGGCTGAACAATGGCCGGTCAGCAGAGGGCATTGTGAGCGCGTTGTCTGGAGTCGTACATTCAGCTCAAACCTGTTCCAGGCTTTCTTTCCAGAGAAATGTACATTCGAAAGATGGCCGAGCAAGCCGCTCTGCACGGCCTGTGCTACATTCAGGTTTTTTTTTTTTTGTTTGTTTTTTTTTTAAAAACCCTCTGTGAATGCTGCATGACTGGGTTGAAATATCTAGATGCTTCCTACAGATGTGGGCCAATGTAAAATGTTCAAGCTCAGATCTGAAGTGTATAAGCTGAAAGTTTACCAAAGAACAAAACTGCCAAAGAACAAAACCTGACCAATAAGATGAGAACTTTTGAACCTTTAGTGCAACATCAAAGCAAGATGGCATTTCAAAGACAATCCCACAATGCCCAAGCTCAGCACAACTTGAGCTGAGGTGATTTGCCTCCAAGTACCTTGAGTAAACAGGGTTTTAAAATAAACTCCGTAACAGAGTAGAGAAATAGGCATGCTAACTAGGTGGTTGGGTGCAATTTGAAGTTTAAACCAATGGATGAGATCTAAAGTATGCTCATAAGAGGCGGACTGATCTGAGCACGTCAGGGTCCTGGTCTAGGGTGGGCGGAAACCTTGTCTGTGGGGAATGAGGGGGGACACCTGCAGGAAGGGACCATTGTACTGGGCACAGGTGGACAGCCTGAAACAGAGCGTGTTTAATACCTCTACATGCACTTCAAGATCACAGCAAGAGTGGGCTAGAATATCGTAACAGAGAAAAGAGCTTTCATGCAAGGGATCTAAGTCACGGGTACAACAATGCAAACAACTCAAACTGGAAGTTAAAGTAGGGGCAGCAGCGCCATCGCTGACACCAGGACAATCTGGATGGTGACAGCAGCAGCGGGGAGGGTGGGACAGGAGAGACGATGATGACAAGCTCGCTACTCTGTGGTGAAGCGCATTGCAACGTGGGAGCGCCGAGGCGCCACGTTTTTTGCGCCTCTTCATCCTCGACCCTCAGCTCTGCTGCTGGTTCTGCTGGCGATTCTTGGTGTAGCTTGTGAAGACAAAATTGTAATCGTTGAATTGAGCCAACTGGCGGTCGAGGCGCTTGTAGCCCTCCATTTTTGGGGGAGTAGAAAAGACACTGCGACATTTAGAGCTCTGCAGGAGAAAAAACAAAAACAAACCACTTTACAGGAAGCCGTTTAAAATCCCCCCGGGTAGATGCAAAAATTGGATTTGAAATGCACCTGATTGACAAAGAGTGTAGTCACAAATTTTCCTGGCTTGAACACCTCCACAACCTTCCTGATCAATTCATCGTATGATGTCTGGGAGAGGTTTGTTTCAAAGCTGACGTAGGAGAACTCTGGCTCTGGGGTGATGTGGATGGTCCAGTAGGTTCCCTGTGGGGAAAATGAGCAAAGTCGCATCACTGATTTGCTTGAGCGCGCAACTATGATGAAGAAACAAAATGCCACTCACGTCAGTCTTCATCCCGTTCATCGAGTATCCACAAGGGTTGAACATTGTGGCATCAATCACAGAACCTGGAATCAGGTCACGAATTCCACTCATCTGCGAGAACAGAACGAGACCGTGATTACGAAGGTTAAACTACTACCACATGCTTGTTCTGAGGGGGAAACTGGGGGAAAACTTACACGAGTGACCTCACTTGCGGAAACACCGTCTTTCATGTAGAACTGGTCCATGATGGCTGGATCAAGGTCGCTCATCAGAACTTCCAGCGTCTGATCAGCACACTTGTTCTCCCAGTACTCTGGCATATCCAGAGTAAACAGGTACCTGTGGGAGGGATGCAAGGGGGCATTAAAGATTTTCAAACCTGGACAATGCATGGAGCTGCTACCTATGAGAGGAGGCCTTGAACATCCTTTCAATTTAAACTAAAGGCTTTTCACCTCCCTCATGAATTGGCATTACCAACGTTCACTGACAAGTGCTGAACTCCAGAAACCACAAATATTTAATTATATTTCATGACTGAAAATCTTGACCATCTTAGCTATTAGCATATTAAGCCAATGTGGGATATTTTAATGCTCACCAGCAGTCAGAGTTCAAACGTCCCATACAGTAGGCTGCACCATCTGTAAAAGGAGGGAATGTTATGGTTACCGTTTATAATCAACAAAAACATTAGGCAGCTCTGAAGAGAACCCACAATGATAAAAGC